TTACGATATACTTAACATAATATCCAAAATGGAATATATATAGTAATCAACACGGTGTTATCATAATCCGTATAAAAGTATTTATACGTTTTTAAATTACACTCATCGCATGGAAAATAATAATGCATATGTAATATTTTAATTTTTAATGATGAAAAAAAAAACGGTTGATCATATAAAAACTTGGATGGAGTTTCAAATAAAAATATAAATAGATAAATTTATTATTAGAATAATTAATTAATAATATATCCTCTAAAAATATACCTATTGTATTTAAGTTATTAGATTAAAAATATAAATTCACATCTACATATTAGTTTACATACATGGAATAAACCATATTTTATTGTATAAATATTTTTAAAACGTCTATATGTAAAAGGTATATTTACTTCTTTTATAACTATTTTAATTATAATGATTGAGCTATTTTTAATGTAAAAATAAAAATCTATACTATTGATATTCAAATATAAAATCACTTGAATATTATATTTTGTTATTACGAAGACCATTAATAAATTAACACACCTATAAATATTTTTACACAATATTTAAAAATAATTTTAATTATATATTACAACAAATATATGCACATATATTCAATTATTAAATTAAACATGAAATAATTATATCTTTTATAAATAATTCTGTCTAAATTATATAAAATTTATCAAAAACTTTTATATATTCACTCATAATTTACTTGAAGCATCATAATGTATGTTCTAGTAATAATATTTACAATTATAATATCTTTCAATATAAAAATTGGAAAAATTTTATAATCCACTTCACATCTGAATAAATATCAGTAAATTAAGCATTAAATTATCTAAATTTTATACATTTTATTTTCAAATAACCTGTATTTAAATTGTTCATATAGGGAATGTAATTAAATTTAAATACTTTGAGAATTGCTTTCTCATTATTGTATAACAAATTTATATGAAGAAACAAAACTTGGATAGAATTTAATACTCACAGTGTTTTACGTACAAAAAGTAATATTTCATTCACCCACTACTATCACTTTTATTATGCACTAATCATTTGAGGAATATTAGATATATATTATACTGTTATATGAGAAAAAATTCTAAATAAACATAAAAATATAGTTAAAGAATTTGCCATACTCATAAAAAATATTATCAATGCTTCTGCCTTTTAATTCGGATAAGATATTTTTTATGTACTAAATAGAAACTCATATTCATTGTCACCTTCTATCACTGTCCTTAATTCCTCACTATTCTATTGCGCGTTAGAATTAGCCGCTTGAATGGTATTTCATTGCCTATTACAACTATTCTCTCGTGTTGTCTTCGATTCTTTGAAAATTTCAAATATAACAAATTCTCTTCTAATCTCGACGTCTCAATGTTCGTTGCTCGATAGCAATGCTGTTTCTAATTAATAATTGCGCTTTGATCGATCATCGTGACACTCATTCGATATCATACTTTATGGTCAATAGGTCATTCAGTAAGTTGTTCAGTGAAATTGAGCAAATAAATTTTTAAGTGACAGTATATTAAGTTCCGATGTTTTGATATGACAGCTAAATTGGACATTTTTAATTGTATAAATCACTTATATTATGAAGTCTGTCAACAAAATTAAAAAATTCTTAACTTGATAGAACATGAATATAATTTTTATAATTTAATATAATTATAAAATAAGATGTCATATATATATATATATATATATATATATATATATATATACAATTTTAGGAGAAAACTAATAACATAATAATTCTTATTTAAAATGATAATGATTTTCAGTGTCTATATAATTTACTTGAAATTTTATGAAGTATTCACAAACAAGACAGAACAATGATCACCTTCAGTATAGATAATTGACGTAAAATAAACAGTAATAAGTCATTTAATACTTTTATACGTAGACCTTTTTCTTGTAAAATGTTTACTTTTTATAAATTAATTTGATAAAAATTAGTTCTGTCAAATATGTGAATATACATATTCTGCTATGTGCAAGATTTTGACTCAGATCGCATTTTGCAATAATGATTTTAATATCCTCATAATTACTATCATTTTCTAATTATGTATGTTTTTTACTTTAAATAAATATTTATATTCTCATGTGTGATCACTAAAATCCAATACTCTTATTTAAATTAAAACTAATTTTATTCCGCGTTATTTCTCAGAATGAAATCATATTAACATGATTAGTTGTTTAGGATCAACAACTATTTGCTTATACTTAAATATAGTTAATTATACATATCAAAGTCAACAATTTTTGGAATTGACTATTTCCATTTTGCATCTTCTACTGGTTATACTTTATTTAGTCTCTACAATAATCATTTCATACATTTGTGGGTAAGTCAGGGCTTTATTAATATATATTTATAAAATAAGATTAAAGTGATTCAAATCTGCTCTACGTTAAAATAATCATACATCTATAGATCGCGTTATATCGCATGTATATATCGTATATCTTATTTATTAAATGACTACTTTCGTATATATATATATATATATATATATATATATATGTGTGTGTGTGTGTGTGTGCGTGCGTGCGCGTGTGTGTGTGATCTAATGCATATATAGTAGGTACTTATAATTATATTGCTAATATTCCTACGATAACGAATTTAAATTAATATTCTAATTTAAAAAAAGAGAAACAGTATGTAAAACACTAAAGAATTGTATTATTGAATATATTATTATTACATTATTATTATTGTGATTATATTATTTAAATAACTTCAGAATAGAATTATAATTTTTAATTAAAATTAGAACGATTTTGTATGTCAGAGCCTATAAATTTTAGAATAAACAATTAATATTATGTACCAAAATTTGATTTTATACTAATTTATGTATAGTTTTTATATCTGATTTTTCCTACAATATTCTGTATGTAAACATAATACTTTTATCATATTACGATTGAATGAAATTTAAATATTAACAAAAATTGAAGGCTTGGTAGTATACAAATATTTACTTATTCATTATATATGAATATCCCAAAGATTAATGTAGATTTTATTTTTAAAAATATTAAAAAACAGTATTTATATAAGAATTATTATTTGTCAGTCAACATCTTTCTTATTCTATATAAATCAAATGGCAATATTAAGTTTTTGACTCACTTAAATGGCTTTTCAAGTTGTATTCTACTTATGTTTAGCACTATGTGCTGGTAAGATATTTCTTTACATGTATTATTTATGATTTTTATTTACGTCTTATGTACATACACGTATTTAATAATAATATTATTATTATTAAATAATAATAATAATAATAATAATAATTAATAATAATAATAATTAATAATAATATTATTATTATTAAATAGTAAATAATAATATTCTATTATTATTATATTATAGCATAAAAATTGAAAAAAAAAAAAATTTATTTCATGCAATCAATTGTTTTTTACTGTTATTAAGCGAACTACAATTAGATGAGAAAAAAATTTTTTGTCGCAGTATTTATTAATAATAAATTAATTAAATATCATATACCATTATTAATGCTGGCATATATTGTTCAGATCAATTAAAATTTCTCATAATTTCTCATAATATACATATACTATAATCTCGTGGGACTATATTTAATTTAAAATTTTATTTTACACGTGTAAACAATATTGAATTCAAATAAATTTTTTGTCAGCAATATTATAGTTTTAAAATTTAATATTTATCAAATTTATTAATTTTTTATTATTTTACCATTTATATTTATTTTGCAAATTTTATCTACACAATAGACTATTATTAAAATAATGTATTCTTATTTTCCAGATTAAATTATTTGATAATTTCATTAAGTTATATTTTTATATTAAATCTTAATATTCAAAAGTCTCTTAATATAATAAAAATTTGTTCTAATATAATTGTCTCTTCCATTATATAAAATCTATATAACCAATATCATTAAGAGAAGTATTTATTATTTAATTTTTATAATTACTTCGCGTAATTAGTATACTTCTACTGTTGACGAATGTGTATTAGCATTCTTGTTATTTTCGAAATACATTATAAACTTACGCTACTTCGATTAAATCAATAATTATTGTAAATATATAAATATCGATTGAAAAATCATAACTTATATTTCTAAAACTACATTAAAATGAATTTTTTTAAAAAATTTCTTAATATTTATGTTTAGGATCATGCTAGAATTAAAAATCCATAAGAAATTGTAAATATTTTTCAAGTTTTAACATTGAATGGTTTTTACTTCAGAAAATATGTTTTTAATTTCGTTATTACTAAAAAAAACTTTTAATAATTTACTCAAATGATTTCATTTATAACGTATCCTTTATTTGAAAATGCATTTATATGAGTAATCAATTATAAACTTTATTTTCTTAATAAAACTTTAGCTATTGTATATTTAATCAAGCAATAAAATTTTAAGTTTACATGAAATTTGTATAAAAATTCAACCGTTTAACATACATATGTATTTTCAAAGGAATTGCTGTTCAACGTGAAAAATTATTTTACATGATGCAAAATATTGACTAAGTAACGTACTGTTTATATCTATTGAATGCACTAAGCTCCGATTTAGCTTTTTGATTAACACCAATTAGTATCTGCCCAATTATTAACGTTTATGCACATACACATTGTACTCAATTTGAATTTATTAATGTAACAAAAGCTTTTAATTATAATGCAATATTCATCAATGTATTAATGAAATTATTAAAATTATAAAGGCGTCTTGGGAAAAGATCTACGGATCATCGGAGGCAATGATGGCAACAAAATAGAATTCCCGTATATAGCATCACTCAGAATTGTCCATCAAATCCAACACATATGCGCGGGTATAATTGTAACTAAGAAGCACATACTATCGAGTGCCCATTGTATTTACGGCAAACAAATGTTTTATCGATACATAAGAGTCTATGTGGGAATTGACAATTTATATGATTTTTCGGAAATGCCGTATAGAGTTGAGTCCGTTCACATACACCCGCAATATAATGGAGAAAGAGTAGGAATAAATGGATATCACAATGATATTGTTGTTTACACGGTAAGCATAAAACTATTTATATTTAAATTATTATTATTCTATGTAATTATCTATTTATATACCATTACTTGCGTTACAAAATTTATTTATTAATCTATATTAATTATACAATATTAATGTATTTATTAATGTGATATTAATAATTTATTTATATAATGTATATATAATTTATATATTAATGTTTAGGTAAAAGTAGCCAACGATGTAATTATTGAATGTAGGCTAATTGAGCTTTCAATGTTATTGTTAACGTTTATTCGTAATTCAGCTATGATTGTAAATAAAACTTTCACAAATTTCTTCGATACAATAAGCAATTTAAATATTTCATTGTCAACAAGTATTTTAATTATTGCATACCTAGATTTTTTTTTATCTTATATAATTCATCGGTATTGAAGAAATGAACTTGGTTTTTAAATTTTCTCTTAGTATAAAAATTAGAATATGCTTTTTAAATATTTCGCTTATAATGAAATAAACGTCAATTATTGAAGTTTCAAAGCGCAACGTAAATTGTTTACATTAATATTTTGTGCATTATTCAATCGATTAAAAGATTTTTTCAATTCAATTTAATTATAATAATAATAATAATAATAATAATAATAATAATAATAATAATAATAATTTCCGAAAGATATTATTTTAAGGCTAATAACTCTTCGTTGTAGCTTGAAGAGAACATCGTATTCAATGAATATCAAAATAAGATAAGTCTTCCAGTGAAAAATGTCGGGCCCGCAACGAAAGTTGTAGTAAGTGGCTGGGGTATAACATTCTATCCAACGAAAAGGATCCCAGAACAAATTCAAAAACTTTCATTAATAGCGATGGATCCAGCCAACTGCTATAAGAAATTCAACATAAGTATTGTTGCCGATGAAATATGCACATTCACAAAAGGAGCTGGTGTATGCAATGTAAGCCACCATCTATAAAGTTCGTGCGAATGTAAATTGTTAAAATGAATTTGTCACGTGTTACATATCCAACATTTTTACATGTATAACTTGAGTCATTAAAGCAATGAAAGAGAATTTGTAGAGGTAGAATGAAATAGATATATTAATCTACTTAATCATTTTATTTTAAGTGCAGATTATTATTAATTAAAACGTAGTATATAATTAGCTTACATGAATTACATTGTATAGATTAGTATTAAATCTTATATTTAAATTATATTATATTGTAGACTGAGATATAAAAGTGATTTAATTCAAATATATATAATTTACATAAATTTTGTCAATTGAAACCTAAGCAGGTATATTATTGTTAAGAATATTATTGAATGTCATAGATTGTTGTATTGAAAGAAATGTTACACATTGAACATCTAATTCAATTATTAAATAATTTAATTACTTATATTTCTTGGAAACGAGATTAAACTACATTGCTAATTTAGCGAATAATATTAATTAGCATTACTATATCTTAGTAATATGTCTGAGTAAAGTAATAAACTATAAATTTATTTAAAGGAAATTTTCTCAGATACTGCATTGAAGTTATATGAATAACATGTATTAATTTACTAAATACGCGTTTTTCTTTTATATTACAGGGCGATAGTGGTGGTCCAGTGGTCAGACATGATAAACTCGTGGGTATCGTATCGCATGGTTTTCCCTGTGTCATGGGAATGCCCGATATACATACAAATGTTTATATGCATTTGGATTTTATTAAATCTATTATTGATTTTAATAAAGCTCTTTATTAAAGATATAGTGATTGACAAAATGTAATTGCCAGATTTAAGATCATTTTTTGTTTATGAATATATATATATATATAATTGTTAATAAAAATTAATTAAATGCTGCACGATTCAGTATTACGATTATTATGATATTTTATGTTACCCTGTTTTATGAGATATAATATTTGAAGTTTGAAATACGACTTATAAACTAATAATATTATTTGTTGTACTCTGTAGTATAAATATTATTGTACTAAGAATATCTCATCTCATAATTTTCAGCTTTGTAATATACAAAATAATCAATTTCAATTCAAAAACTATATTTGATTTAATAAATGAACAGAACACTGCCATAAATATTTATAATATTATAAATAAAATTATTTGGATTACGTACCAAATATATATTATTGAGCTCTTAATTTTTTTAAATAAATTAAATACATTGTTATTAATTGATAAATAACTTAAGTATGCTATTAATAAGTGCTAAGATAATTCGTTTTTTATTTTATATCATAAATGTATTTACGCTAGAAATATGTGGCTCTCCATAATTGAATTAACATTTATTGTAATAACTAAAATTTAATAATTTCATAATAAATTAACGTTTTTTCACTAGAACTTCTATATACTAAATAAGTCTTATGAACAGATACAAATTTATTCGAAAATATTTCTTTAAACGTTCGATAAAAGCTCAATAATAATAATAATAATAATAATAATAATAATTAATAAGAAAAATTAATTAAAAAAATTAATTGAGTTTAAATTAAAATAAGAATTTACAAATTCAAAACCTTGGTCAAAGCAATTATAATCATAATAATTAAAGTAAAATGGACTTATATATATTTATTTACTCTAGACAAATACGTCCTTTTTTTAAAAGCAGTTTAACTTTTCTTTTTCAACAAAATTTATGCACATACCATTATTATATTATAAAACTTATCTATATCAAATTTTACAGATTTCACGATATCATTAGCATATGAAGCGTTAATTTAATTCTGTGAAATATTACTATAAATATATCTATATATCTATTTTTACTATTATCTTCAATATAGAATATATTGTAAATATATAATATATGTAAATACATTATTAATAAATAGACAAAATTTAATCAAATTGCCTATAAAATTAAATTTTTATTGAAAATGACTGTATAAAGATTCTATTTTAAATAAGCTAATTGATGTGGCAAAATAAATGACAATGTCATTAAAATTCAATTAACTAAAAATAACATGATTAAGCATTACCAATAATTCTATATATAAATATGTAAATGATTTAAATTCGATTTTTCCATTGTATTTATTTTCTTTATCTATATTTACCTATTTGCATATATTAAATAAATATAAATAATAATCAATATAAATAACATTTTTTAATTTTTTTACATTTTTCCTCTGCAAAAAATTATGTACCCACTAAAAATTTTTAAACTTTTGAAATTTATTCATTACTATTCCATTAAATATTATAAACAATTGTTTACAATAATAATTTGTTGATAAATCACTGAATTTTTTAAAAGAAATTTCCATATTGAATTTATGTAAGTATTAACAGTTACAATATTATACGCTTAATAGCTTTACAAATGTAGTTTATTTTTTAAATTACTTAAACTATAATATGTTTTTTTTTATTTTGAACCAAATTTAGATATAAATTTATTATCTCTATTTACTATTGTTTACAAGCATAAAAATATATCAATATATATTGTCGTTTTATTCTATTTATATGTATATAATACAATTCATTATGTTTATATTCATAAGAAAGTAAATAGATGACTTTTAGTAATTAATGATTATCTAATTTTTATACCATTCATTATATTTTCTTGCAGTGATTAAAATTTTAGTATTATTATTTTGAATAAAATGATACTTAATTATTACGAATTATATGATTTTTACATAACTGAGTTATATATTAAATTTCCTATAACAAATAAATTAATAAAATTATTAAGTACATATAAATAATTATTTATTTTCAAACTTATGTAAGTTATAATTTGCATTTTACATACCATACAAATGAAATAGCATTCATAAGTGCAGCACTTAGTAGCTTTTAAATCAATCTCATGTAAATTTTTCTAAACTACGCATCATGTATATAAAAAAAATAATATTCATATGCTGTTAGACAAATACCTTAAAAACTTGTTATTATATTTAATCAAACAAACTTGAAGTGCAATTTTTCACTTTGTATTTCAATATATTAAAAATTTTAAAAACATTATAAAGATATACTAATTATAAAATTATATTAATTATAAGTTTAAAATAATAATACTCATTTTCATCACGCAAAACTCTTTTGAAACATTATGTTGTTGAGTAATCATAACGTTTTTAGAAACATTTCTAACGTAGTTTCATAAAGTTAGTTGTTTTTCACTATTCTAAAATGCAAAGTTTAAACACGGCTGCTTATTGTTTCAAAGAATTGTAAAATATTTAAATGTTCTATGTTTATTAGTTAATTTTATAATATATTCTGCTTTTTCAGATACAAATTCATAATTCATGGTAATTAAAGAAATATATTATAAAAATATCATTTAATGTGAAATTTATTTTTATGGCAATGTTTTCAAAACGCTTTAATTACCCCGTAAAAATTACTGGCACAGTTTTAAAAAACTTTAAATAATGTTTTGATTTTTTACGTTTTAACAATTGTTTTTCGTAATGGAAGATTACTGCACTGAACTATTTTTAATATATATATATATATATATATACATATATACAATTATAATTTTTTATTTATCCTTGGGTTACTTTCGAATATTCATTTCTGTTTATGAGAGTAATTTAGTATGTAAATTATTTCTAAATAATATGTGAATTATTTAAAAAAAGATACGGCGTAATAACTAAGAGCTAACATTATTATCTTGAATAAAACTTATAGTTTCTTAAAAAATGTATTGAAATAAAATTCTATAATCAATTTAATTATTAAATTTTTTAAAAATAAGTTCTGTAAAAAAAATGACTAAGTTTAAATTATTTACTTATTTTTATTAATAAATATGTACATATTGATATGGATTTCGTAGGAGGAGGATGTCGGAGTAAATATAGAATTATTGGATATTTTTTACTTTTAATTGTTAACTTCGTTCATCTTATAGTCGAAATCAAAGTAAGAAACGTTATAATTACATTTATCTACCATTAAAATGTAAAAGAGTTGGAAAAAATGTATTCAATAATTTTTAAATGTGTTTCTAAATTTTTGAAAAGTAGTAAATAAGTTATGAAAAACATAGTATAGATTTTTTTTATAGTATATTATGATATTAAATCATCTAACGTTATCGATTATTATTATTATTTATTTTATTTTATTTTTTTTTTTTTGTAACTATGAAAATCTATAATATTAATTACATTTTATGGAATTTAATTTTGGATGCATTGAAAAGTAAAAGTACTAATTGCTTGAATAAGAAATGTATATATTTTATTCATATAAATTAAAGTTTTAAAATTATAAAAAACATATCATTTTTAATTAGTAATTCAATCATATAATTCTGATAATTATATGAAATTTATATGAATTTAGCATATAATGTATAGCATATAAGTTTTTCAAGCTCTCAAAGTAGGTTAATTTGGAAAAGCATCAGATTAGGTTTCTAATTTCGTTATAATAATTATCATTTGATTTTTAAAGCAATATGAACTATTCAACAAATTATATTCGCCATAATAGGATTATCGTGAATGGCTGATATGAAATAAAGAGACTGTTAATACAATATTCTAGTGGGATACTAAAGCTTATGTAAAATAATATTTAGCTTTACGAACTTTTAACAGATCATTTCACATTTTAGATCATGAAAAATTTAATTTCTTTTTGGTATTTGTAATACTAATTTTATTAGTTATTTATATTTTATATTTCACATTTAATTTTGCATTTTATAATATTTTCCTTCACCCTTCGTTATAATTTACTTTGCTACATTGTTAAGAAGGTTTATCATATTTAATATTATTAAAATGAATTCCAAGAGAAACAAGCCGATTATTTTTATATTATGAAATCTAGTACTCATTACTTTATCTGAGTAAGTATGTTAAACTAGTTCTATTGTCAATATCTTTTCAAGTTCTTTAAAAACAAAAAAAAACAAAAACAAAAAACAAAAAACATATATATATATATATATAAAGCAATATTGAGACGTTATAGATTCGTATAATCTTACAATTTGAAATTAAAAAAATCATTTATTTTTATATTCATTTCATTCTAATTTTTTAGTAATTATATATTCCGAAAAGATTTAGAATTTTTAACTAAATACTATTTATTTCAAACGTTTCGAAATATATGCAATGAGACTTTTAATGATAATGAATTCCCAGAAATAAAAAGAAATTACTATTTCGTATTTAATTAAATTCACTAAATCATGATAAATGGAACATTAATTTTCACATTTGGTTGAACTACGTGAAATATTCTGGAGAATATTGATTAATTTCTTATAAAGTAGGAAAATATTAGCTAATAATTATATATTAATATATATATATATATATATATATATATATATATATATATAATCTATAATGCTACTTTATACAATTTAAATATATATATATGCTATAACGTATAATGAACCTTATTAATTATAGCACAATATTAAAATTTAGAAATTCCTTAATTCTATTAGAAATGGAAATGAACGCTAACAGTTTTATTAATTGTAAATTCATGAAAATTATACATTTTTGATCTTTGAATAAATGCAGTTGGATAAACGAAAAAAATGTAGTCATATTGCACATCCTCTACTATTTCAATTGAAATGCACAATATATTAATTAAATCTAATATGATAACAAATATAAAAATGACTAAAAAGAAATATAGAATATCTATCTGACTTAATTGTAATACTAAATTGTAGAATTTGTCTGTAATTGTAAAACTAAAATAATTGTAGCATAAAAAAAAACAGCGTCCAAGTAAATCATCGTATATCTTTTGCTATAGAATATATATCTTACATGCGCGTGGAGTGTGTTCGATTAACAAAATTAACATAACAATTAATTCTATTTACTCTTCTAGATATATAGATGGTAAAATAAGTCCATATATTTGTTCAAACAGTGTGTACAATTATATTTATTGTAATATTTTTATATAATCCAACAATTCGAATAGAATAAAATGAATTCTCGCATTACTTTATTTGATAATTACAATAAATTAAATTTCGTTTCGAAATATGAATTCACATTCTGTTCAATATCTATTTACATTATCTTGAGACGTTTGGAAATATATGTAATATGAGGAGTAGAATATAAGTGTCAATTATCTATATAATGTTTATAATGAATTTAGACTATCAGTCTAGTCTTGGCAACCAATCTACATGGATACTAAAATCATTATAGGTGTTTATACGGTATTAATTATTGGTAAGCCACGTAAATTGCAAGTATTCCTAACTATGAAGTCAGTCGGTTAAATAGAATTCTAATGCAAATAAACAAATGTAGAAAAAATTACAAAAATTAAATTAAAATAACTTAGTCGTTTTATATAAATTCAATTATCATTATGATTATATAAAAAAAAAAAAAACATCTCTAGTATAGTTTAAAATTACAATGTATTTATTTATTTAATAAATTAATTTTTTTAAGAAATTTTATCGTTTCATTACTATTTATTATTCTTATTTTCTATTTATTTGTAGTCGTTATATAAACATACGGTTTAAGAAGTTACCAAGTTTAATGTCAATTATTCACTATTTATCATTAATAATCTGTTTATTTACTTTCATTGTATAGTTAGTTTAAAATGAAAAATACAGGTACGGAAGACACTTTAAATTTGTTTCTATAGGAAATCTATAACAGTACATTTTTATTAACATAATAAAAATGTTTTGTTTTTATCTTTCGTAATTATTTTAAAAATTCCAATGAAGTGTAGAATTTCACAATAGTATTAATAGTTATTTAAATACTAGTTGCTAAATAGGTCGAAATAATTAATTTTATCATACAATATTAATACGCATTAAAAGTATTATTAATACATTGCGATAATATCAGTTAATGTGCATGTATGTTTGTGTATTATTATTAAGTATTGAATTACAGTTTCATGTACGTGTATCGAATTTTTAAAATATATTATTACATAATCAAAAATATAATGTTAAATGATACATTCTACTGCAGATGTTCACATGTAGTTCTGTCGCCTGATGATGAACAGTTAATGGGATTTAATTTATATGTTTTAATGCTTAAAAATATTTTCTTCTAATAAGTCTCGTAAAACTTTCAGGAACTCTTGGTAAAAATGTACGAATTATGGGGGGTCAAAGCTTAAGTGTCCGGGAATGCCCTTATTTGGTGTCAATTAGAAATTTGGTGCCTAGCATACATGTTTGTGCCGGTGCTATAATTACTAATAAACACATACTTACGGCCGGTCATTGTTTCTATAGAAGAAAAAAATACGAAAAATTAATTATTAACACTGGAAGTTCAGATTTACCTAATGTTTCTAAAACTCAGTTTACCATTAAAGTTGTAAATGTGCATCCCGAATTTTATGGCAAAATTGATAGTCCAGGTGATTTTCTCAATGATATCGCTGTTATTACAGTAAGTACAGTAATACTTACGTACTAATCGAATGTGTGCACATACATTTATATTTATATGATTATTTTGATTTTATAATATATTCTAAAAACAAAATTCTATTCATTTTAGCAAAAATTTCAATATTATTGCAACAATATGACAATATAAAGAATTCAATTGTATTTCTTTAATTGAAGGTATTATTAATGCAAAAAATAATAATATTATGAAAATAGTAAATTTTTAATAGTGAATATCAAGAAAGGTTTCAGTTGTTTATTAACAAATGAAACTGTATAATGTATTAAATCAAAATGATATTTTAGATAAGAATTTTTAAGTTCTTCGTTAGAAATAAAATTATTTTTAAACATGAACATGAAAATTAATTAATTTTTTCTTTTTTAGATTAACGAATGTATCGAATTTGATGAGTTTCAAAATAAAATAGACCTTCCGACCAATGATATTCTGTTCGACACTACTGTTATGCTAACTGGTTGGGATTTGACCAACAATGAAAGAAAAAAATATTCTGATCGTGTCTTACAAGCTCCAGTGAAAGTCATGAAAATTTCTGACTGTTTAAAATATTTTCCATTTCCTATTCGAAATGATTGCATCTGCACGTATGCGAATGGAATTTCTGCATTAAAAGTTAGTTTATCAATTTTCTTATTAATATTTAAATTAAGGGGCTATAGGAATTAAAATTATTAAATACATCAAAGGGGTTTGAACATAGAGATAAATTTTTTTTAATTTGATGCAAATTAATCCAATTTAATTTCTAATATTTTCAATCGTGTTTTAGGGTGATAGCGGTGGTCCCGTGACTGAAAATAATAAAATCATAGGTATTATATCTTTTAGTAATAGTGACGTGAAGAATATACCTGATGTACATATTAATGTTTATAAACATATGCAATTTATTCGATCGACAATAGATACAAATTTACAGTGTCAATAGAGAAAATATTATAAAATTAATTAGAATAGAATAAATACATTATAATTTAATAGCTAAAACGAAAAAAATTTTTTAATATAGTATATTTAAAAGTGTACTACATTTAAAATGTAAAATGATTAGATAAAAAATATATAATAAAAATATCGTGTTAAATTATGGGCGAGTAATGTTTATATTTTAACACACAAATGTAATCAAATTAATGCCATATCAGTAATATTTTTTATTATAATAAATAAAAAAATGTGTCGAATTGATTTACACATTGTATAACGAATTATAAGGTATGTAAGTAACATTTAAATCTCATTTCGTCATAAGAAATTTACATGAACCGTACTCATAATTCAGAGAGATTTTTTGTTAAAAAAAAAAAAAAAAAAAAAACACTTTAGCATTCCCAGTTTCTTACTCGCAAGTGGTACAATATACGTAAAAAAATAAATAAATTAAATCAAAGGAAAATTTATTTAATTATTATAATACATTTCAATTGTCCAGTCATAAATTAATACATACCGTCCATATTAATTTGTTGATACATTACAATTAGAAATATTCAATAATAATATTCAATTGAAAATTGTTTAAAATAAATATTTTATTATTTGTTTAATCAAATGAGAATGTTACTTTTTTATTTTTCATAATTAATTTTCATATTAACCACTTTATATTAATAAGTATTTTAATTGTTAAATTAATTTAATTATTTTAAAAATTGTCGAAGAGTATATAAATATATTGTTGAAATACTTTTACAAGTATTCTATATTCTTCTACTCTACAAGTACTCTTTACAAGTATTTTACAAGTATTCTAAGAATAATATCATTTAAAAAATTAAATAGTAAAATAGATTTTCCAAATATTTTTGGAAATGATTTTATACTCGAAATTCTTTATAGAAGAATATTTGCATCTAAATATTATGCGAGCATGACTTTTGCATAAGCAATTACTAATAAAAGGTGACTTCTTCTTAGAAATTAAAAAGAAATTATTCAATTTTTAAGTTTTTCAAATTTTTAATTATAGTACATTTCATAATTGTTTAAGTTATTACAGAAACTCAATAAAATAAATATTTAATTATTTGCTTTATGACATACACATTATATTAGAAATTAATTAAATAATTTGTAAAATAATATTATTATTGTATTAAAAGTTTTAAATATAATAGAAACCCTAGAATTATTATTTCTGATTTATTAATTTTTCAATTAAACGTATTAATGTCATGCAAATCATATAAACAAGTTATTTTACTATAATAGAAAACTTACATCACGTTAAAATAAATGATTGATTAAATTATTAAAATCGAATATAATTTAGCTGATTTACTGTGAACAGTATTTTAAAATATTTGGTCAATAAAAAAATATCTTTATTATAAAATGAAAAAAAAAATCCAATCCTTTTTCAATAGATTCCTTAATAATAAAGCATAAATTAAATATTTTAGTATAAATATATCTATTAGTTAAGAGCTATGTGACATGAATAATTACTTATATTCTTATGAAGCGAATGTCATTTCAATCATAATTAAGCATTCCAATAAAAATAATTTTTAATTAGTGATAATAAGGAATAAACATATGATAAATGTATGAACAATATCAAAACTTTATTATAATAATTCATTTTCTCACGGTATTTTTCATAAAGCTTTTTATTTGTACAATATGCACAAGATAAATAATGTAATCTTTCTATAATTAAAAATATCTTTATATTATTTTATTCGTTATTGCATATAATTCAAGTCAAATTGTAGTCGAATATTTGTATTAAATGGTAATGAAAACAACGGATTTTTTCAAATTTTTATTGCTATATTATTAAAATTAATTGATTCAATATAATTTTATACGAACAGCATAATTCACATTAGTTCATTAATATAATTGCTTTACACGATTGAACTTTATTATCTGATTATTTAATGTGCTTAATGACATCTCACAGTAACAATAAACATACGTAAAAGTTTACAACTCTGTTTTAATTTTTTTTTACTCATATTTAGACATTTAGATAATAAAATACTCTTTGATGAAGCTGTTTTAAATAAATATTGAAGTAAGATTCAGACATGTTTCAATAAAGAATTTTGACATCATATAAAGCAAATCATTGTAGGCAACTTTTTATTGTTAACTGACTGACGTACAAATGAGAATTCAAATAATTAATTTACTTTGGATATTTCTATTTGTTGGTATGTAATTTTACCGATATTCCTGTCTGTGGATCTTGCGAAAAATTATAAAAAATCTCGAAGGAAGAAATTATTTTGATTTTAAAATTGGTATAAAAAGAAAAACTGTAACTATAAAGTACGCCTTCGTTATTTTCGAATGGAATAATACAAGCTACATTGAATAATAAATATTTAATTTATTATCCACATTATTTTATTGAAATTATCTGTTTCAAAAATAGAAGCATAGATCATCATCAGTTGAATCATATTTATGTTATTTTTTATAAATCTTTATTAATCAATTGCTATTAGTATAGTTTTCGTTAATCTTATTGCATATCATATTTGATTGGATAATCCTTTTAAAAATTAGTTAAAAATATTTCAGGTGCTTATGGAAAACGAGAAAGAATTGTAAATGGAGCTGTAGTCGACATACGCAATTTGCCATTCATTGTCTCCATAAGATTTAATCCAACGAATATTCATTTATGTGGCGGCATTATACTTAGTCAAAAACACGTACTCACTGTTGCTCATTGTGTTTATGATTTTAAATACGATTGGTCCAACCTAAAAGTATTTGCTGGAACTTCGACTTTGTCTGCGACCGAAGGTACTGCGTATGCGGTAGAAAGTATTCGGTATCATCCACGGTATAACGCTGTACTCGTGGAAATAACTCGTTACCGCTATGATTTGGCCATTCTCAGTGTAAGTTGCTCGTTCATAATCTCAATAATAATGAATTTCATTTGAAAGATGTATGTATTTATTACAAATACTTTTAAATTTAAATGCGCCACGTGCAGTAGAATTTAACAAAAATATTCAATTTTTTATATGCGAATAATTAAAATTACATACGCATTGCTTATATTATAGAATTTTAAGGAAATTTTTTTTCCATCTATTAGGTCGAAGAAGTTATTAATTTTAACGAAGTACAAAAACCAGCTTCTCTTCCAACAAGAGATATTATTCCAGGCGATGATGTTATAATAGCTGGTTGGGGACTACCAACGCCTTTAAAAGGATTTTTTTCTTATAATTTACAAAAAGCTACGGTGAAAGTTGTTACATATAAATACTGTAGAGAAAATTTCCCATTTCCTTTATATAATGAGCAGTTTTGTACATATATGAAGAAAACTAGCGCAAGAGATGTAAGTATTTAAATATTTTCCTATACATAAGCTAACAAATATGTCGAATAAAAATAATTCTATAAAGCTAAAACTTCCATACCTTTTATGAAATGTAAACAATACCTGTAGATAGACAATAGTAATAAACAATTTTCCACATAAGACTGATCATCTTTTCAACACATTTGAATCTAATAGTAAAACGGAATCCGAACGAATCATTGTTTTCTTACAAAAATATTATAAGATTTATTAAATATCAATTAAAAAATATTAAAAACCACTTAATTGAGCTATTATTTTTATTATTTTTACCATATGTAGCAAATTTCACCGATAAATTAATCAATTTTTCTTGATCGTGCCAAACAATTGATCCCTTTGCAGCCGAAATAATGGATCAACCAATTGTGTAAATAATATGTTTTTGGCATATTCACAGGGTGACGACGGAGGACCGGTAATTAGTAATGATACAGTAATTGGCATTATGATTTATAGAAGTTCATCAGTCCATGATGCCTGTGATATTCAAAGCAATCTTTACAAACAAATGGATTTCATAAAATCCGTCCTCCAGCATTAACATCTTTATGTTTAATTTACTATTTAATAATTAATATGTCACATTTATCGCTTCTTTGAAATGTATATAATATTTTTCATAAGTTAAAAAGAAATTGCGATTCACAAAGCACTTTTCTAAACATGGGAAATGTGAACTACTTAGTCATTATGATACAGTGATACTACTACCATACGCTTATTTCATGATTTTTGCAATCGCCCAGTCGTGGAAATCACCGTGACAAAATGAGTATTCGCAATCAAAATATGGACAATACGTACCTATGCATTACAGCGAACATAGCTCAGCTTATCTTGTACATACAGCTGATACGCATTTGTTCAACTAACTTCGAGCTAACGAATTGACGTAACGTTGACGTACATTGTGCCACCAACCGGAATTCACGTTGATTGAACGAAGATACTTGGAACTGCGAGAACTCCACTCTATCATATAAATATTACATGTAAGTGATATCGAGCATAGTAACTCCTACTAACGAAATGATTACACTCTGTATTAAAGTTTTATTACACCGAATGGGAAATTCATTTATAACGACTATGCCTTTTTTAGGGTCATCCGATGAATTTCCACCGACTCTCGAATGTAATTACTTTCTAGCTCTAATTGCGGTATACTCAATTCTATTGTTATTATTATTATTATTCAATTAGAGTAATAATGTTTATACCGTTAATACTGTTATATAAATATATATATATATATATATATATATATATACGCGCGCACATACAACACAAATACTAACTGTTCTAACTAATCGATGTAATAGCAATGTATACCAATTAATTATAAATAAACCGCAATGAATAAAGCTAAACAAATTGTATGAATAACATTTTGCATCAGAAAACATTCTGGATATTCTGGATAAGCACGTTACTCGAATACTACAATAATATATTGGAAAAAAATATATCAACCGTATTTAAAATAGATTGGTTTTTGATTACTCGATGAATTTCCATCATTTTTTTTCACTAATCGAATAATACTGATTTAAAATAAAACCTATACTGATTGAAAAAAATAATAAGCACGAAAAAGTAGGGAACGGTAGTAGATAACGGCTGATGTAGTGCTAATTTTAATTAGAATACAAACTTACAAAACTTGAATTAACAATATATTACAATCAAATGATAATCAATTTACGAAGTCTAAAAAATATTTCAAGTGTACAGTCTTCATAATTAATACAAAATTTATAATTCATAACAGTAAACTAGATTTCTTAGCGATTTATATACGAAGAACAAACACATAGTTATAAAATATATATATATATATATATATATATATATATATATGAAATTTTCTCTAAATGTAAAAATTAGGGGAAAAACAATGGAATTTAATGAGATTTTAAAGTCTAATAGAAAGTGTATACTTGCAGATTTACTTTCATATCTCCTAAACCAAAAATTTCAATACATATTCTCTAACTATAGCAGATATAATTTCATTATCAATACTACAATCCTAATCATCGACATCGGCATTATTATAATTATCACTAATTTCTAAAATTTATACATTTTTAGAATATTTTACACATACATCATTTATACATCATTCGTGCAGTTTTGTTATATTTCATATAAATAATATAAACATTTTTCTTTGTTTGTAGTAATTTATTGTATTGGATAATTAATATAATATATGGTAGAAAGAATTTTGGGACAGAAACTATGAAATTAAAAATGAATTTTTAAAGAGATTGGAGATGAAAAAATGTGCTGCTATGATACTAGAAATTAAAAAATAATCAGTAAATGGATTTTTATTTTTTTTTTTTTTGAATATTAAAAGAATATTATGAAAACAGAAATTAATTATTAAAAAAGATTTTTTGCGTATTATTGGAAATAATTACGTAAAAATGATGTACGCGGTATTACTTGATATTGTGTCTTTCTATGTAATCAATGATTAATTATAAATATTTGCGAAAATAAATAATTAGTGAAACAACAGATTATTTTAATTTTAGGATTATTTTATAAATTAATTCAAGAATCTATATTTTCTTCAAACTTTCACATCAATCAATAACATAATGAACAATCGATTACTACTCCTATTAGTTTGTTCTTAATTGTACATTAAGAATAAAGTTTCTATACATGAACATTCGGAATATTTTAATAATTTTTATGCATAATTTCTGTAGAAATTTATAAAGAAACTTCTATTTTACTTACATTTTCTAAATTTTGCTGTAACAAAAAAATTTTTCTGCATGTAATATGAATATAATGTTATAAAACATAATTTATAGTAATTTACAATTATTATTTACGAATTATTATTATTTTCGGTTTCATCTGAAAGATAAGCAATATAATATATTTCTGTTTAATTAATATACATATAAGGAAAAGATGCATAATTTTATTTTTTTTTAATATTTAATTGCATAAACTTATTTTACAATTTATCGTGAGTAAATCATATATTAACAAATTGATAGGTTTTTTTTTATAAAATTATAATTTTAATTTTTTTTTAAATGTTTTTATATCTCGTGTATTTATATTAATTCATAATTTTCAAATATTACATTTGCTTTCTATCGAATCAAACCTAAATAATCGATCAATATTTATTTCTAATATAATTTTGAAAATATGTATATTTAAATGCCTGCTGATTTTTGAGAAATTTCATTATTGTTGACGAAATTCAAAGTGAAAAATCAATTAATATTCCAGGCATTAATTATTATTGCAAACCATTTTCCTGATAATATTATCGATGTGATCATATTCACTATCGTTTTACTCAATATTGTATATCTATTGATTGGCAATTATATCCAATTATAATTTATCGTAATTGAATTGTCGTAGAAAAATTTTATTCTTATGTATCAGTGCCAATTAGAAATTAATAAAAATCAATATGAATTAGCAACTTCACATTATCCAATGCAATGACAATTTTTATGGAAAATTTTTTTGGCGTATATAAAGAATTTTATTTAACTATTGGATTGATCCAAATTACCAAATACGAATTTTGATATGAGAATTTTGTTATATTTTTACATATTATCATTTGCTTATTTATTTTACTAAGTTTATTCAGCTGACTTTGCCTTATAATCCAATGGTTAACTAAAAACTATTGATTCAGTATGTTTATATCGCAACTAATTTTCATATTTATTTGTTATTAAATAGTTTTCAGATTTAAGTAGATTACTTGGCTTTGTTTGAATTTTTGTAATTTTTTATATAGAATTTTCCTATTCGGAAGAATAATATATACATTTTCATTGGAAAATATTTTACCGTCCAATTACTTTAAATATTTATTGCATGATGAAATTATTTTTTTTGTAATTTTTAATGATGTGACATATATTTTTATCGGTCAATAATAGTTTTTGTTTACTTTATAATAGAAAATGCATTTCGATATAATTACCAGAATAATTCAAATGTTCTCAATTTTTCTGGCCGTATTTGCATAGACTTGAAGGTTCTCCGTTTTATATATATTTTTGTCAATTACTTTATTGATCTTATAAGAGAAAATTATGAAATTTATAAAAAAATATTTTCAGCAACGCTATTTACTTTTATAATACTATTAGAATGATTATCATTTTATAAATATAATTTATTAGAGTTTTATCATTTTTGTTGATATATATTATTATTGTCGAATATTTAAAAAAATTGTTTGTTTGTATTATTAAATTTATATTTCCAAAATATATATCTTATAATTACGACTATAACTAAGCAATGTTTTGCATTTTAAACGTTCAATTACAAATTAAAAAAAAATATTCTTTTTTAATAATAAATATATTCTTAAGTGTATATATATGTATATATATGTATGTATATTATGTGTGCATGTATATATATATATATATATGTATGTATGTATGTATATATATATACATATATATATATTTAATATATATAATATATATTTATATAATATATAATATATAATATATGTACATATTATATACATATATATATATATATATATATATATGTATGTATGTATGTATATATATATACATATATATATATATTTAATATATATAATATATATTTATATAATATATAATATATAATATATGTACATATTATATACATATATATATATATATATATACATCATATATATACAAGATATGTATGTATATGTATGTATATATATGCGTCATTTCATTGTCATAAAAAATTAATTCAACTAATTCTTCATAAATTCATATATGTAATATTTTCTTTTTTCTGTTATTAAATAATGTTATATAATTATATTATATATACATATAATACGTATAATGATTTTATGCTATTTGTAATAAATTGAAATATCTAAATTCATTAACCTGTTGATATTATATATTCATTAATCTGTTTATGAAATTTAGTTCCTACAATTACATTTTTTTATCTGATATTTAAATTGTTTGAATAAATAGAGACTAATGTAAGAATATATAACCGTATATTTTATATATTTTCATGAAATTATTTGAAATAAATATTTATGTAGCATTTAAAGTTAAATTTAAAATTTAAATTAATTTAGCATTTAAAACATTTTAGAAGTTTTTTTACTTGAAAATTTATGTCATATAAAGTACCATATTCCAGTCAATTTCATCTTTTTGACACTATTGTTATCTGTTATTGTTATCAATTATTTAGTAATTGATGGGTGTAAAAATGAAAATTCAAATAATTAATTTACTTTGGATATTTCTATTTGTTGGTATGTAATTTTACCGATATTCCTGTCTGTGGATCTTGCGAAAAATTATAAAAAATCTCGAAGGAAGAAATTATTTTGATTTTAAAATTGGTATAAAAAGAAAAACTGTAACTATAAAGTACGCCTTCGTTATTTTCGAATGGAATAATACAAGCTACATTGAATAATAAATATTTAATTTATTATCCACATTATTTTATTGAAATTATCTGTTTCAAAAATAGAAGCATAGATCATCATCAGTTGAATCATATTTATGTTATTTTTTATAAATCTTTATTAATCAATTGCTATTAGTATAGTTTTCGTTAATCTTATTGCATATCATATTTGATTGGATAATCCTTTTAAAAATTAGTTAAAAATATTTCAGGTGCTTATGGAAAACGAGAAAGAATTGTAAATGGAGCTGTAGTCGACATACGCAATTTGCCATTCATTGTCTCCATAAGATTTAATCCAACGAATATTCATTTATGTGGCGGCATTATACTTAGTCAAAAACACGTACTCACTGTTGCTCATTGTGTTTATGATTTTAAATACGATTGGTCCAACCTAAAAGTATTTGCTGGAACTTCGACTTTGTCTGCGACCGAAGGTACTGCGTATGCGGTAGAAAGTATTCGGTATCATCCACGGTATAACGCTGTACTCGTGGAAATAACTCGTTACCGCTATGATTTGGCCATTCTCAGTGTAAGTTGCTCGTTCATAATCTCAATAATAATGAATTTCATTTGAAAGATGTATGTATTTATTACAAATACTTTTAAATTTAAATGCGCCACGTGCAGTAGAATTTAACAAAAATATTCAATTTTTTATATGCGAATAATTAGAACTATTTAAGAATAGATTTACTCGTTCTACGAGGTTTAGCGAATGAAATATTTTTGCTCTATTAGGTCCAAGGATCGATTCAGTATAACGAAATACGGAAGCCAGCTGTTCTTGCAACGAGAGATGTTATTCCAAACCAAAATGTTGTGATAGCTGGCTGGGGGCTACTAACACGTTTGAAAGGAAGATTTTCTTATAATTTGAGACAATCTACAGTTAAAACTGTTACACATGAATACTGTAAAAGTAATTTCCCCTTCCCCGTATATGATGATGAATTTTGCACATATTTGCATGAAGGAGGCTTTGGAGATGTAAGTATTCAAATACTTCAATGAGCATTAAAAGGATAATTTGAAATAAACATAATTGTATGATGTTTAATTAAACGTATATATTTAGAATTTCCATCAATGCTACAGCGAAATCTTAATAAATGTTTGTCCAGTTACAAAAATATCATATCACCAATTTAATTCATAGACGAACGGGCGAAATGTATATTGCTTCGAAACAAAAATAATGTCATAATAAATTTTCATATTTTCACAGGGTGACGAAGGAGGACCCGTAATAAGTAATGGGGTAGTAATTGGTATTATTACCTACAGAAGTTCATCGGAAAATGATGTATGTGACATTCATAGTAATCTTTATAGACAAATGGATTTTATAAGGTCCGTCCTGCATCGTTAATAGGTTTAATATTATTTCTTCTTTAAAATAATTTATACAGAATGATTTACTAAATCGTCAAAATATGTATACTAAAGTTTTCATGAGTTAAAAAATTGTGATAACGCTAAGCCAATTCCTATATCTTTATGTAAACTTCAGTAGTTTGAAATAAAATAAGTTGTTGGAAGAAAAGACGAATAGCTTATCAATCAATATTCTATCATAAGTTAAACTCTATTGTTTAATTAAATTATCATATTCTATACATGTGTTCTAGTACCCAATAATATAATATCCGAAAAGACTTCTTTTATTTATATTTTAAAAATAGTCATATATAGTTAGTACAGAAATTAAAAATTTAAATTATATCATAACTAATTTATTATTAATGCTAATTTCGATGATATTACCTTCCAAAATTTTGCTTGAAAAGTTCCGCATTATTGACAATGAATGGATACATAAGATATTTGTATTATATTAAACAAATAATGGCAAATATAAGCAACATTTTTTCAATTTTTCAAGCTTCATAATTCATAAATGCGTGTTGTATTTTTCAGTCACAATAAAAGTAATAAAAAAATTCTATGTAATATATTATATATATCGAACTCCTTGGTATGTAAAAACTTACAATTAAATTAATAATTAAACAAAATTTGAATCGAATTATTTGCAATATTTTAAGTTTTGAAATATATTTCAATTATATGGTCGTTATTTTGACTTATTATGCATGATTTATTCAATTTATCAGCAATTCATATATTAAAAAGATATTGTTTATATATTTGCAATTTTTTCTAACGCTAAAATGAAAACCACCATTTCATTTAATAAGATTTTAAAGTTGTGATTGAGAACGCACTGATTCATTTTAATTTTCACTAAACAATGAAACTTAACAACTATCGATATTACTTGAATAGTATTATCTTCAAACTTAGATTTAATTTTAGAAATATTGAATAAAATTATTGTAAAAATTGATAGTGTGTAACTGATTAGTGATCAAATTGTTTGAAATAATATTCTATTGATGATTATAAAAACAGTCAATTGAATTTAAAATTAACATATCATATTTTTTATTTGCAATCATTTAATTAAAATACATAAAAAAATCCTTTCCGGTATTCTGTTTATTCAAACTGTTTTTATTGAAATGAAAATTATTAAATTTATTGTGTATTCTTCAAAACATTATCATGTGTCAATATGTTTTACTCAATATTGTATATTTATTGTTTTGCAATTATATCCAATTATAATTTATCGTAATTGAATTGTCGTAGAAAAATTTTATTCTTATGTATCAGTGCCAATTAGAAATTAATAAAAATCAATATGAATTAGCAACTTCACATTATTCAATGCAATGACAATTTTTATGGAAAATTTTTTTGGCGTATATAAAGAATTTTATTTAACTATTGGATTGATCCAAATTACCAAATACGAATTTTGATATGAGAATTTTGTTATATTTTTACATATTATCATTTGCTTATTTATTTTACTAAGTTTATTCAGCTGACTTTGCCTTATAATCCAATAGTTAACTAAAAACTATTGATTCAGTATGTTTATATCGCAACTAATTTTCATATTTATTTGTGATTAAATAGTTTTCAGATTTAAGTAGATTACTTGGCTTTGTTTGAATTTTTGTAATTTTTTATATAGAATTTTCCTATTCGGAAGAATAATATATACATTTTCATTGTAAAATATTTTACCGTCCAATTACTTTAAATATTTATTGCATGATGAAATTATTTTTTTTGTAATTTTTAATGATGTGACATATATTTTTATCGGTCAATAATAGCTTTCGTTTACTTTATATTGGAAAATGCATTTCGATATAATTACCAGAATAATTCAAATTTTCTCAATTTTTCTGGCCGTATTTGCATAGACTTGAAGGTTCTCCGTTTTATATATATTTTTGTCAATTACTTTATTGATCTTATAAGAGAAAATTATGAAATTTATAAAAAAATATTTTCAGCAACGCTATTTACTTTTATAATACTAATAGAATGATTATTTTCTCATTTTATTATTATATACTCGATGAATATTTACGAAATTATCGAATACAAAGGTTAGAGTTGTGTAATTTTCTAATTTTACTTACGTTTTTATAATGAGTTCAATTAATATGTTAATTATATATATTTATAAATTATGAAATTAATTATAAAAACAATAAATGCTTATAAAACTTATTTACAAATACAATGCACTACTAATTAATTTCCATTATTATATATATATATATATATATATATATATATATATTGCATTATTTATAGAAATTACATTTATAAATTAATTTTATGGATTTCTATTATATTAGAATATGCTGTTTTTATCTGTTTCTATTATTCAATTAAATATTTAAATCTCATATTTACATAATTAATACCGTAATTAATAGAAATTCTGCGTATTTATCTTAGTCGATTAAAAAATTTTCTTACTATTTTTTATTTTTATTCTTATAAATTTTATAAACAAGAATTATATTCATTATCGTATATTTTTCATACCAATTGGTTTCTCTGTTTACGCCAGTTAAAATTAATTTGATAAATCATTGTCTTTTTCAAAATACATACTATATTTCAGATCTATAGAATAAATGACACTCAGTTTGTATCGATAAATATATTTATTGGATCAACTATTATCAATAAATCTATTGCTTAATATAAATGTACAAAGTACGATACAACAATCAAGTATATTAGTCATATGAATTCTTGTTTAACTAATTTTAAAAACTCTGTGCTAAAAAAATTGAAATTAAATTATTTTAGAATTATTTAAATACTTTATACTACAATGTTATTAAGATTTTTATTTTATAATTCAGTAATTTATTTATAACTTACTTTACGAATTGACAGACTATTTTCAAGCCAGTTAGATAAAATTACAATTGTAACTGTAATTCAAAGAACCTATAACATTCATATTTAATTAAACTGTAATTGAATATTAAATACTGTTAACAAGATTTTAAAAAATCATGGCTTAATTTATTAATAATAGAATTATCTCTAAATTATGAAACGGAAAAAATTAAAGTCCTTCGATTAAGCCGCTTGTTAATTAAAAATAAAATAAGAAACATTTTAATAGTAGTAACTATTATTCCAGCAATGTGTGGATGATTTAATTCCTATTTAAAAACTCAAATATAAAAAGTAGAACAGGTGATAATTAGAAGCTCAAATGAGATGTTGCAATGATTAACAAATATAACATCTTTAAATGACAGAAATATTTAAATGAATTTTGACTACTTCAATACAATTGATACCATTAAAGTATAAATATAATGATAAACGTAGCCTTAATTAAAAATAAATATACTATGTATAAGTGCAAATTTTGGGTATTATTAGAACATATTCTATCTGAAATTACTTTGATTGCAGAAATATAATAATGTGAATTCGAATTAAAAATCGTTGTTACCTGTTAAATATAGCAACAACGACGAAAATGCCTTTACTCTAGTAACATTTAAGTGAATTAATAATTTTTCACTTACATGCGAGATAAAAGACATTATACACATATTATTATATTTCAAATATATAATAATAAACATCATTAGATTAGATTTATTGTATGATGAGGATTTTTAAATTTTATAAAATTAACTGATCAAAGTGTTTTAATTGATCGATTTATTTATATTATATATTTTTTAATGTAATTGTATAATACACTTGGCAGAATTAAATATTCTTATCAGATATTTATTCATTAGGTCTCATAATAAATATACAAATATGTTGAAGGATAAACCCTGTCTTTTATTTAGTTTTATTCAGTTTTTGACATTTATGAAGTACTGTAACCTTTTGCTTTAAGTAAATATTTATATAGGATTCATGTATAATTTAATATAGAATTTTGATGTGATATAAAGCTGGTAGCAACTTTTAAATTGTTAATTGACAGACCTGAAAATGAGAATACAAATCATAGCTGTACTTTGTACATTTCTATTTATAGGTAAGTCATTCTCCTGCCTATCAATCTATTGAAATTGCCAAATAATAATAATAAATGTTCGTAGGAAGAAATATTGTTGAATTGGAAATTTGTCTTAATTATTATTGTTATACATATCGTCTTCTTTAATTTTTAATGAAATAGTAGAAAATTTATTCATGAGTGTATGTTTAATTTATTATCAAATGTAACTATCTCAATTAAATTCTTGCTTATTTTATTTTAATTTAATTGAATTTTAGTAAAGCCTGTTAGGCTTTTTTCATTAGAGAATTATTATTATAATTTTACTCAAAAATAATATTGAATATTTATGTAAAAGCGTTCTTTAAAAATGCAATTAATTAGAATATGAAAATATTGGTTTATTTAAAGTACATTAACATAAGATTAATATATAATAAATAAATATGGCTAAATACTTAAATAAATTTAGCTTGTAATATTTGTATAATTTTGCTAGATAGTGAACTATCTCTTATAGATCATAATGTTATTTTTAATATTATTTCAAAATGTTTCAGGTGCTTTTGGTAAAAATGCAAGAATTATCGGTGGCAAAGCGGCAAAAATACGCGATTTTCCCTTCCTTGTCTCCATAAGGTTTCACATAAATAATATTCACTTATGTGGAGGTGTTATTATCAGTCAAAAGCACGTGCTTACTGTAGCTCATTGTGTTCAAGATTCTTTATCAAATTGGTCTAGTCTAAAAGTATTTGCTGGATCATCAAGTTTGTCTGCAGTTGAGGGTACCGCGTATGCAGTGGAAGATGTCAAATTCCATCCAAACTATAATGTAATACTTACAGCTGAAGATCATTATCGCAATGATTTGGCTATTGTATTTGTAAGTTAATCAATTATAATCTTAATAACAACATTGAACTTATTCGTTAATTTTATTCAGAAGATTTTATTACTTATAAGATATATATATATATATATATATATATATATAGCTTTTACGGCATAATTTTAATGAAAATAAAAATAGACAATAAAGAGACAAAAAAAACGGTGAGAAATTAATACGAATGTTTATTTTGTCAGGTTATCGGATTTATTCAGTTTAGTGAATTACAACAAGCAATTCCACTTCCAACAGCTGATTGTACAATAGGTGATAAGGTCACAATAGTTGGTTGGGGACTAGCATCAGTAAGGAGAGGAGTACCCATATTTAGTTTACGAAAAGATAAATCCAGTATTCTTCCTCGTGAACATTGTAATCAAGTATTCAATTTTGCTTTGTATGACGAACAAATCTGTACATACTTGAAGGCATTCAATTCAGAAGTAGTAAGTATTCACGTGTAACTAAACATATTGACAATAATAATCAACAAGTATTTTAATCTAACGAGTTTTAACTCTAACGAATAGTGTAGCATAAATTTTTTTTTTTTTTAATAAACGTTTATAGAGGTATCATTTAATGCTTTTCAAAATGAAAGTGAAACAAATTAATAAACGTTATATATAATAGAGGTATCATTTAATGCTTTTCAAAATGAAAGTGAAACAAATATTGTACGAATAATATGTGTTTCATATATTCACAGGGTGATGATGGAGGACCAGTGATAAGTAATGGAAAATTAGTTGGAATTATATCACTTAGGAGTACATTATTCAACGATAATTATAATGTTCACAGCAATGTCTATCAACAATTGGATTTCATAAGATCCGTCCTCTAACATTAACAACATTATTTTTAATTTATTATTTAATAATTCATACACAATTGTTTATTGAATTTTCAATCAACTCTTAGATCTAACTGTACTCTCACTAATTTGAAATAAAATAAGACAATAGCTTAACCAACAAAATCTTATCATTGATTAGAAATAAGTAAACATATTATTTGCATTGTATCGATGAAATAATTATTAGTATAAACAACTTTTTTTTTTTAAATTTTTCTTCTACTATAATTTTAATAACTTTTTAATAACATTAATAACTTTCTCAATGCTTACCAGCTAAAATTATAAGGAATATAAATGCATAGTAACAAGTATGAAAATATTAAATACATTTATTATTTGAGAAGGATTGAATAATCCATTCAATACTCATTGTTCGTATGTCGAAATTTCTTCAAACCATGCAACAATTTAATTTAAGAGCGTATCATTATTTAAAAATTCTTATATTCTCCTAAATAATCGTCATTTAAGCCTGAAAATGCTCTTTTCTTACATAAGAAACGACTACAGATTGGATTCTATTGGAATTCCATGAATTCTATTGGATCGATATTGTTCTAAATTTTTTAACAACTTTTTTCAAATTCAGTGCTTTCGATTTGCGATGGTCAATTCGTAAATATTTACTATCTATTTTCTCTCTCATACTTATCATCTGCGACGCATCTTGCTTAATGATTTCGTCACAGTTAAATTATAAACACAATTAATTTAAAGATATTAAAAATCATATTCAAATACGTGTTACTTCAATAATAATTTGAATATTAATTACAACATTATGTTGAAAATTGATATTAGTTATACATTATTTTCTAAAATTTTAAAAGGCTCTAAAACAATTAATTTCCAAAACCATCTAATGCGTGATATTTAAATTCATATATATATAATAATTATTTTTAATAATTCATATATACAAATAAACATATTACTTCTTATATAATTCACATATTTCATTCATATTATTGTATTACTCAGAGAATTCATACTTCTTATATAAAGTAAGTGGAAGTCTTTGATTTTGAATTATAAACTTACAAATTGAAAAATAAAAACTGAAATCATAGTTTTATTCACGTATTTACTATTTATTTATCATTATTATGAATTATTTAATTTCAAAATAAATTCACCAAAATTTGTACTTTAAAAATTGCCTATTATTATTATTATTATTATTATTATCACTAATAAATAACAAAAATTATGGTTATTTAAAATTTTTTTTGCTATCTAATAACAACATGTAGTGTATATAGAGATTTATTTATTTTTTAATTTATTATTAATATCAATATGTCTATATTAATTATTATAATAAATAAAAATCTTATATTTAGTATGTTTTTGTCTTTTTATTTAATTTAATGTTATTAAATCGTAGATTTGTATTCGTTAGAAAAGTTCTAAACTGTATATTATCTAAATTATATATATATATATATATATATACATATATATAATTAGCAATTAATAATCTAAAAACTTTATTTCGTAATTGTATCTATAGTTTATAACGATTTTGTTTGAATTATGTACGTTCCAAACTACTTAAATTTAAGCTATAAATACTATAAATCGTATCTTGTTTAGTATCGTATGTTTAGCTTTTCATACATACACTGTTAATGACATTATTATTACTTCAGTGATATCTAAAACCATTACTACCTCTAATTTCAATAATAGATATGGTAGAAATTTATCTATCAATTTAAAACTTATTATGGATTATGACTTTATAACCTGTTATGGATAAAGCAAATATGTTATTCAGAAATATAAACATAGAGACTAAATTAAATATACGACTTACTAATTAAATAATCGAAAATATTTAAATATTTTGGAATACGAAATAAGAAAAAACGTACTGTGCGGCTGATTGAATTGAAAAAAGACACGTGAACTGAAACTGTAAGCTTACTAAAAATAAAAATGATTTTTTAAATTGATTTTTAAAGAAATTTGTTATCGAAAAAAACAAAATAGTTGAATAATAACAAAAAATTTGTTTATCCCAATTAATATTAATAATTTATTACTTATTTATAACAGTTTTACTATTAAAGTCTATTGTATAGACTCGAATTAATATTCGAGTACATATATTATATGTAATTTTAGATAAAATTAATATATTTTATGAAATTAATATATTATATGTAATTTTAGATAAAATTAATATATTTTATGAAAAAATAATTGAAATAAGAAAATATATTGCACGATCACTGTAAACTCGGGTATTTATTAAAAAATTTTTATTTTTGAAGTATTATAATTATTTGATTAAATTATTTGAAAAAATGTAATTTTAAAAGAATTAATCACAAATGGTTAGCAGTCAAAAAATCCATTTTAAATATTTTTTATAAAATTGAAGATTAATATGCTCTTATCGAATATAATATTTAATGAATCTTGTGGTCTCTTTCTTTTATTTTTATTAGTTGATGGAAGTAGAAATTTTGTCTAAAATAGAAAAATTTTAGTTTTTAATAGCACTTTATTTTGATGATAAAATCATTCTAAAATGTCAAACATATTTTATTACATAAATTTCTTTTTATTAATAAACTTCTGACTGAAAATGTATAAATGCTACTATTTTTATTTCAATTTTTCTAAATATAAAGATGAATTGAATTTGAACAAAGTTTTTCATGGTAAATTGTAAATTCGTATATAGAATTAAAAATGACAAAAGCCACGCATATTTACATATAATCTTAAAACTATAATTAAGATTTATTTGATGAAGTAATTAAAAATTTATCTAATACATATATATATATAATTAATTTCTGAAAAGTTATTATCAATAATAATATAGTGGAATCAATTTTAACCTATTTTCTGTATTCCATAATTGTTTTCAGGTAAATTATTTTAAATCAATTTCAATATTGAATTGATATAATAATAATTATATGGTATTATTAATTAATTATTTCAAAAAATTAACCTAGACTATTTTTAATAAATGATAATCACATATTTACTACATACATTTGAATGTAATTAATTAAACTTATATATTATTATAAAACATTTCCATATAATAATCTGTAAAATTCGAATTAAATGTCTTACTAATAATCCAAACATTTATATATTTTTATTTTTTATAAGAAGGTATGGCGAAAAAGAAGGAAGGTGAAAGATTATCAATTTTTTTACTAGTTTGCTTTTATATTGTCTTTGCCTTCATATCAATCAATTATCTCTTTAATATTAGCAGTCATATCAACTTATATCGAATTATTTTCTTCACAATATTCTCTAAAATCACTTATATTTATCTATTAACAAAATTAGAAATCTATACAGCAATAATATTACTTCTTATCATAAATATTATATAAAGTTGAAAAATATTTTCATGTTTATTTTAACTATAATATTTTAAAAGTAGAAGAAAACTATTTAAACAAAAATACACTCTGCATAATAAATTTTGATTAAAATTATAAGATTCGTTTGAATACGATATTGAGGAAATGGATTATATTAGTAACTAAATAAATTTTTACCAGCAATTCAGTAATCCCTTAAGTAGATTCAGATGCTAAATGTACGTATTACTAAGAAAAAGGACACACATATTGTTTTAATATTACAAACTTAAAATAATAATTGCATGTATTTATAATTTTCACCCAAGTCTATATTTTTATTCAAATTTCTTGTCCAGATAATTCTAATTCAAACTCAAATTAACAATAAAAGAACACACGATATTTCTCAATGCAAAATGTATTTTTCTGATTATTAAAAAATTCTCCAAAAATGAAAGAGTAATAGTTTATTGTCATTTACTAAATTATTAAAAAAAGTATATTTTAAAAAATTTACAAAGATGATAAATATTCATTTTCAACTAAAATTTTTTTTATATACAAAAATATATTATTTCCAAATTCCAGAGTTTGAAAATCACTTAAAAGATTACAATTTAGTAAAACATGTAAGAAATTGAAAACACTGTACATCAAAAGTATATCTCTATATTTAAAAAGTAAATAAAATTTATATTTTATCTTACTTATATATAAGTACTTACTTATTGTATAAGCTTAATTATATGTATAAAATTTAATGTTTTATACTTGCTAACTATGAATTTTTATTGGAAAAAAATTTCTCGTAACAATTAATTTACATCTAATAAAGAATAGGTGAGTTATTTTAATATATTACTTGAAATATTAAAAATATTAGCTGTACATGTTATTGTTATATACATTCTATTCTATATTTTATTATGACCATTATCATTTCTTAACTATAAATTGTTAAAATACGTTCATTATTATTTTTTGCAATAATGCTTATATTAATACCATAATTTATAATGAAAAAAGTAGATATTATCACTTATTTAATCTTATTATCTAATTTATGAATTATATAATTTACAAAGAAAAAATTTTAATTAAAAACATTATAAGTGTTTATTCAGATTTTTTTATTGTATATACTAGTAATACCTTATTTTTCATTTGTACACACATAAATGTGGGATATTTAAGAAACGAGAAACAAATATTGAAATAAGATATATAAAATGAACACGTTACAATATAAAGTACTAAGCAATATTTAATTGGAATAATAAACTTACAGATTGAGCAATGGTGAATCGATTCCTGATTTTATTTTCTATATTAGTAATTTCTGGTAACTGGTCTTTAATTTTGTAATGATTACATAAATTTTGTAATGAATGGTTAGTGTGTATTAACTGGACCGTGTGAACATTTTATACGACTTATTTTTTTATCGCATAAAGAAAAAAATAATTTAATTTTAATTTGGATAACACGATCGGTATGATTAATATTAACTACTAAGTACATTCGTTTAAATATACCATAAAAAAAAACTATTTGTTTATTATTTTATCGTTTAATTTGTACAAGATTAAAAAAAATTGTCGTACACTGACTAATCATCTAATTTCTCCTTCAGTTCAAATACGTATTTCTAATTTTACGTTTTTAAGCATAAAATAT